TATATGTGTATGTGTGTATGTATATGTGTATGTGTGTATGTATATGTATATGTGTGTATGTATATGTATATGTGTGTATGTATATGTGTGTATGTGTATGTATATGTGTGTATGTGTATGTATGTATGTATGTATGTATGTATGTATGTATGTATATACATACATGCATACGACAGTGATTAAGAAGATGAAGCATGTAAATGTGTGATTTCAGACGAGGCTTGGCTTAAAAAGAACATTTGTTTTAAACTCACAATCTTCAAAGTTGAATGTTGTGACTGTTATTTATTGGCAGTCTGGAGAGATCATCAAGAAGGCCAAGGATCACACCAAGCAGATCAACGACATCCAGACATCCGTGGATCTGACCATGTTCATCAGCGCCTCCAAGGACAACACGGCCAAGGTGAGATCCCCGTCCACTCTCCGGCTCACTGACACAAACAACCAGACATGTTGTGAATATATGGGTCACCAAATTGCTACTTTTTGTTGTGTAACGTTTTTATATAACACCAGAAACGATTTGGTGTATATACTGTGTATAATCCATGTATTGGTCACCTGATTTTTATCTGAACTTGTCTGTTGTTTGACATCATACGTGGTTATTGAGCGTCCTGTGTTTCCTCTCAGCTGTTTGACTCCGCCTCTCTGGATCACATCAAGACTTTCAAGACAGAGAGACCCGTCAACTCTGCTGCCATCTCCCCCGATATGGATCATGTAAGTGCCGACTTAGTGAAACGAGGAAAGGCTGAGAGTGCTGTCACCATGTACACGTTTGTTTGCCGCAAACTGTTTTGTCAAAAGAAAAACGTGATCTGGTCCCTACCTCTCAGGTGGTGATGGGAGGTGGACAGGAGGCCATGGAGGTCACCACTACCTCCACCAGGATCGGCAAGTTTGAGGCCAGGTGAGTTAAAGTGTGCCCGAGGTTCACTCCACGGGTCAGGAAGGAACCACCGTCCCACATGAACGTACCTGATAGTACGAGCCTGTTGCACGGTATCCACTCTGCTCGGGACAGTTCAGACCGAGGCGCTGACCCTGGCTTTTCTTCTCCCCCCTCAGGTTCTTCCATGCTGCCTATGAAGAAGAGTTTGGCAGAGTCAAGGGTCATTTCGGCCCCATCAACTGTGTGGCATTCCACCCCGATGGCAAGAGGTAAGACGCTACACTGACCTGTGATGTAGAGTGGTCGAGTCAAAAGTCCGTGTGTATCGCTGCTAACATTTCCTTTGTACAATGTTTTTTGTTTACAGCTACAGCAGCGGAGGAGAAGACGGATACACGAGGATTCATTACTTTGACTCACAGTACTTTGACTTTGAGCTGGAGGCGTAAACAGTCGGGCTCCTTCCCCACACAGCTTCAGTCCAGTCGGGAAGAAGCAACCATCGACTGAAGTGCATTTACAGTCTACTAACCACCTCGCCTCATTCCCTTCATCTGAACTGATCTGTAATCGGTGTACTTTTCACCCGTGGCTTCAAATAAAGGTAAAGCGGTCAGGACTGCATCTCGGAGATGAGAGGGTTTCTGGTGTTTTTTTTGTCATTTTTCTAACATCACTCGGGAAACTGTCTTTGTGGGATCAGAAGCAACTTTTGTACCCTGGATCCTCGGAGCGATCGTGACTGGACTTCAGAACCAACACTCCCTGACACCAAACTTTATTTAATCTCATTCTACAAACAAGTAGAATTTGAGTTGATGTATCTTCTGTTCTGCCATTCCGTACCAATTCACCATAAAATTACTGAATTCAAGTTGTGGTTGCGTGATTTATTCAACTCTGTCAGTCAACAATAATGTAATGCAATATAAAGGAGAAGCATACTGAAAGGACCACCTCACAGTTCTGTGCCACTGCCATCCAATTTATTTACAGTTTACATCCATGTTTGTCCAAAACCTCATGATTTGAACCTATTAGATGTGTTATAATTGTTATAATTGGCGCATTAATTCTTGATTTATGTCAAACTTGTTTTTTGAGATCACAAGGAACTTTGACCACCAAATTCTAGTCGTCCATCCGGGAGTCGAAATTTAAAGAGAGTCCGTCCGGGTGTTCCTGACATATCGAAGTTTAGAGAATCACACGGGCAAGTCAAACAGCCTTTGCCTGAACGGTATGTAAAAAGAAACAAAAAGTTATGAGTATGTAAAATTAGTCATAGTATGTTGTGGCGTAGTATAGTATGTCGGAAAAATAGCAAAAAGGCTCAAGTTATATCGGCCTCATCAAGTGTGGCCTTCCATCCCCATGTAAGAGACTAACACACACTGACCACAAACGTTAAGCTTCTTCATGCATCTCTGCCAACATGATTCCTGTACGGTTTAGCTTCAGCAGTGGAGATGACGGATTAGTAAGGCTTCATTACTTTGACCACAGCTTCAGTCAGGAAGGAGAGACGATGAACTGAAGTTCCAACCAATGGTGTCCGATTCTACAAATAAGTTAAATTTGAGTTAATTTAATTTTTGTTCTGCTATTCCACCACACGTCACCATAAAATGAATGAATACAAGTTGTCTGATATATGCAACAATTTCTAATCCTTTAACAGTTACCAGAAATAAAAACCGTAGATAAAGTAATGGAATCTAAACCAAAAGCAAAATACATAATTAGTTGTTTTCTGTTGAGGGTGTATAAATAAAATTGGGAGGAAAAACGTGGATCACTTCATTTTTTATTAAAATTATGATAATGCACATTTCACAAGGATAAAACTCCAAACAACCACATGTAGAGGGTCCATTTAACCAGCTCACTCCACCTTTATGTATAATGGTATAAAATATCAAAAACAAGTCACTCACTTCCGAACCTCTGAAGAGGTTCACGACCATTCACACTTCCACAAGAAAGAAAACACTGACCATGTTCACAGGAAGGTGGGCTGAAGGGACCGCTCATGAATTAAAATAAGTTACTGAGCATCGATCGGGCCTGTCCGCGCAGAGGGAGCAATATATACATGCTGAAGGCGAGATTATCCTAAATATGCATTCACTGATCAATCAACACAGCAAGCCAAATGCTGGTTATCCTACAGTATCATAGATGTTTAAAACTAACAGAAAAGCCTTTTTTTGCACGTGAGCACTATACTTATAAATCATCGTCATCTCTGCAGGTACTTCGACCGTGAGCCCCGCAAGCCTGTTTAAATCTGTAACACCATGATAGGAACAGTAATGATCTGAGTGCTTTTCTTCACAGCAGACCGGGTTCACAAAAAGAGTTGAAAAGAGGATCCGTGTGTCATTTGTTTTATACTTCAAGAGGCTCCAGATGCGGACCGGTGTTTCACTGAGGCTGGTAACAAACGTAAATACTACAGTGTAAACCAGGCTTGGCCATAAGAACACATCATAAAACAGGGATACAAAAAGGCTCCCATTGTCACAGCAGGAGAATACAGGAATCAGTGGGGATTGAGGACAACAGCACAACCAACTCTTCCTCCTGGTGTCACACTTCAAGTGGTCTTCACCTCTTCTTTTGGTCTGAAACAAACAATGAAGGAGTTTATGCAACAAACCACCAGACAGTCAGTCAGTCTAGGTAAACAGCTTTGAGACCAAGAGGGTTTCCCAGGACACACATCGATGCTTTGACCATTTACAAATCGTCTCCTTCGTTTATGATTAGATGAGGTGACACGGTTTATTGTTGGCGTTATGTCGCAGCGCTGATACATTCACTCTGCTGCTCAGAGTAATCACAGTGACGGCTCTTCACTCCCTAATCACAGTTCTGCTCATAACGGAGCAAACAACCACCAACAGAGGCTGCACTGAGCTACAGTATGATGCCTTAAAGCTCCAAACAGTAGAAATGAAGTTTTTGGCTTGAAGGAGATGTTTTCACAGTAACATAATATAGATATAGAAACCTTTTAATATTCTAAGAATAGACAACTAATCAGATTTTATATTTACCCTGATGTGTCCATCTTCTCTTCCTCTTTCTCCTCCTCTTTCACTTCTAAGAGGCAGAAAGATAAACGATTAGCACAACGGTATTACAGAATGATGACATATTCATCTACAAACACCAGCTGGGAGTTGTGAACAAGTCTTACCTTTCTTTTCCTCCCCTTCCTTCTCTTCCTCCTTCTTCACTCGTTTGGCCTTCTTGTGGTTGGCTGCGTTCCTGCGGCCTCCTCCCTGCCCCTCCGCCTCGTCCTCAGAGTCGGAGAACTCCTCCTCGCAGGCTATCCTTTTGTCGTGGGCCCGGACTGAAACACAGAAAGGCATACTTAAATCCACAGAGTACAACTTGACAGTAGCGTAGAGTGTGTACGTGACCACTTCCTGTCTAAATCTATGCCTGTGGAAGCCTCTTACTGGAGACGCGTTTGTCACCCTCCTCCTCGTCCTCGTCTCCGCTGTCCGGGTGGGGGGCGTCCTCGGGGATCGCCTGCATCTGGACACCGGGAGCGTGCGGCAGCATGCGGAGGTTTTCAAACAGACGCTGCTTGATCTTCTCCAGGTACTCGTTGGTGTTCTGGTTGGTCATGTTGGACGGGCTGATGTGCAGCTTGAAGTCGGGCCCGAAGTACTCAAAGTAGTCGTTGTAGGGCAGCTCGTTGGGGATGGAGCAGTCCAGGGCGACGGCCGTCTCGTACGTCCAGCAGCGGGCCACGTTGCGGATGGTGTAGCCTCCGCCGCCCAGCATCAGCAGGGGCAGGTTGAAACCTTTGATGTACTCCACACATTTGGCATGGCCTGGAGGAACTCGCACATATTAGAATTCTCCAGCACTAAAGCACTTCTACATGTCGGTTTAGGGTGAGTGAATCGTGTTAATACCTTTGATGGTGAGGTTGAAGCAGCCCAGTCTGTCTCCAGAAAGGGAATCCGCTCCACACTGGAGGACAACAGCACTCGGCTGGTACATCTCCATGACTTTAGCCATGATCTAACACACACACACACACACACACACACACACACACACACACACACACA